CTCCGTCTGAACAGTTTGCACTCACTTTGGAGGAATTTTCAGCTAGATAGCTCTGTTCTGCGGGGGAAAGTCACCCGCTGCACATAGCATGTTGAGGAAGAGGAGTAAGTTTGAAAAAAAATCTCACAAGGAGAATGAAAATGAGTAGTAAGAGAACTACAAAATGCTAATCTGTGTGCTTCCTATCATATGTGATGCATGTGTTTGTTTCTGAAGTTTTCTGGGTAAGGAGCTATCATGTCATTATGGTTAATACTGTTGCTCTTTACTGGCAGATTTCCAAGAAAACAACTACAGCTTACTCTAAATCCAGTATAATCATACACATTCTGTTACCCAGGACGTGTTATTATGGTGGCTGTGGTTCTTCTTGAATGTTGTCCATTTACATCCTGGAATTTTCATCTTCACTGAATTCCAAAGTTGGTTTTTGTTTCCAAAGTTTTTATTTTCCAAAGTTTTTGTTTATATTGAATTTCATATATGCAATATTTATGCTGCAGATGTTATTGTCATTCATATCAAATACAGGATATATTTTATCAGAGTGTTTTCCATTGTTTCGGAAGTAGTATTTCTGCCATTCCTTCTTTATTCTTCTGATAGAAGAACTCCTTCATGTAGTAGTCTTCTCTCCAATGCTGTTTGGCCATTTTATTGGGCAGTTTTTGATTATATGTAGTATTTTCCTTAGCTCATATAAAACATTATTACAGGTGCATTTCACTGCATATTCTGCTGACTTGAAGTGCAGTCTTACCCAAGCTATTTTAAAAACTGACAACTTGCTGGTTTTCACCAAGTTCTCTGTTTATGAGGTTCTGTGTGGCTATGTTGTTAGTACAAGACACTCCGAGGCATTTAACTCCATCCAAGGGATAATAATTGCTGAGTCTTCTTAATGCAAACATTTCATAGCAAGTTCCAGAAGCAGTACTGTTTAGAACAACTATGAACCACAGATTAAACGTAAACAACTTTGTGTTAGAGGGTATTTAGTGATGTTAGTTTGGTATTGAAACTCTGCTATTAAGTGCTATTAATTGATGGCCATTTTTTAAGCACTTTTCAGTGAAGCCCCCTTTTATGTAAATATTCTTTTTCATTAATGCAGTACAGTTCAGATTGTTCAAAGTCAATAATTTACAGACTTGCTGTCTTTTGGTGTTTGTAAGCTGGGAGCTGTGAATCAAGCACATACTCTGTAATCTCTGCAGAGACACTCCATATCTAATGCCAAGTAATCTGACTACACTAAGTGCTTTAAAAAAGCATATTTTAAAGCCCCATACTGTGGTTCTCTATGGTCTTTTGATATTTTCAAAGAACATTTATCATTTACAAATACAATAATAATAATAGATGTAATGTAATGTAATGTAATGTAATGTAATGTAATATGATATGATATGATATATGATATAAATATAATAGAATATGTTGTAAATTTTGAATGAACAACCCAGTATTAACATGTATTCTCTTTTAAAGCAGCAGTTCTAGAATCTGTGTCAGTGGACTGGACAATTCCTGAAAGCACCTCAACAGTGGATACCACAGAGCTTTCCCCATGTAGATCCCCTTCGACACCACGTCACCTTCGCTATCGTCAACCAGGAGGTAAAAACCTTATATTTCTTTCCTCTGTCAGTCACTTTAAAGAATTTAAATACTCTAGCTGTAATCTTTCAGGATTTTAGAAAAGAGTAATATTTGAATAATGTGTTTCACTTATATTTTGCTTATTTCTCATGTATTAAAGAAAATCCATTAGCATATGAATTACAGCTGTTAATATGTATAGTAATAACAAGAGACTTGAAAGCATATTTGGACTTTGGTCTAATTTAATGTTTTTAAATAGACAGGACGTGGCCAAATTCAAGCCTAATATTGAATCAATCCTATTCTCTCAAAATTCTCAAGACCTTGTCAGCTTTTTTTCAGCTACTAAGGGGACATATTTTGGGCACCATATGTAATAATGATATACACAACACCCATTATTGTCAATGGGGAGCGACTATCTCTGTTTCTTTGTATAACACTGAACATTTACAGATGGTGTCACATTATTTGTTCCAAAATTTGAATAAACTGCTCAATTGAAGAGGAAAAGTGAGAGCTGGAGCTCCTCAAATAGCTCTCACATGGCTTTCTGAAATCGTTACCAGAGCTGTGAGCTATGTCCATAAATGCTTAAAGTGCTACCATCTCATGCAAGCCAGATTTATAGGCAGTTATTTCAGGCCTGGGATTAAAGCAGAAAAAATGGAGCAGAGTATTCTCAACTCTTAATAAGTTACTGAGATAGTTTAATTTAAAACCAATATCAATCTGCTGTTATTTGGCACATTTATGGTGAGATGGCAAAATTTGGGAGTTGGAAACTGTGAGAAACAGTGTCATATTATCTGAGTACTACACAGAAGCATTGTTCACAACACTCCCTATAGAGAAAGCTTGATAAACAGTGTAAAAAAGTGTACTCAACCTAGATAGTGAACTAGGAAAATAGATTAATCTAGTTACCAGAAATTAATTAATACACTTAATTCTCTAAAATGATTTTTTTGTTCAGGTTTATTTTCTACATAATTGGTTTTGACTTTTTTTTGTTGTTACTTTTTTGGTTTGTTTACTGCTTTTTCCTCACCTCGACAGTGTCTTAGACATGTTTTTCCATAGCAACAATAATTATACCAATCTGGAAATAAAACTTAAACCACAAATATGATGAAGGTATTTTTATTTCCCTTAATATAGTAAGTCCTCTGACAATGAAAATATGGAACACTCACAAAGTATAAACATTAGTGAAGCTTTTAAGTATTATCGTTGCTCACCTTGAAAAATTTGAAAGGTATGAAGAAGTTAACTTCTTTCTGTCCTTTCTCTTTATAGTACAAACTGCTGACAACAGCCACTGTTCAGTTTCTCCTGCTTCTGCTTTTGCTATTGCTACAGCTGCAGCAGGTCACGGGAGTCCACCAGGTGAGACAAATGTGCTGCACAAAAAAGAGATAAGATACCTAGGTCTCAGAAGGTAACTATTTCTTAAGAACATGCTTATCTGAATCCTAAATAGTAATTGATTTGTTACATTAATCTGCTGAGGTTTCAAGTCCCTTTGTGTGGACATTGCAGTACAGCACCCAGAGTTCACTGGAGCCTGGGCTTCCAGTAATGTGGCCAGTGTAGCAATATTTGTAATGTATCTCATTTAATTGGAAGTAAAATTGACCAGTAAGAATGACTAAATCAGCTTAAGACAGACTGTTAAGTTGCATCCACCTTGTTGCAGTTCCTGCTGTGGCAGTCTGAAAATTTTGGCTGATGAAGCTATTTATGAAACCTAACATGAAACCTAACAAGTGAGGACTGCACACTGTACCACATACCTTCAATAAACTGGATAAACATGGATCAGTGCTCCTATTACAGTTATATACCTCCTGTAATCTTTAGATGATCACAAGAGAGTAATATTCAGTTTTAGGAACTTTATGAACCTGTCACAAACATGTATTTCGCGAATTTCTTTGAAATGATGAATATCCTCTGCGTTTGGAATGAGACACTGCCAAGGAATCAGCGACACATCTTGCTTCATGAATTAGTTCCAGTATGTTTACAAATTGATTACAAAACACAGTAAGAGTAAAAAATCCTGGTTTTCCCCCCAACACCAATTCAATTAATAATTACTGCTTTTGTATTTTTAAAAGCAGAGATTTTCAATTTATTTAGTATTGAAGTATGCAATTGAGAGAATATCAAAGCATGAGGGTGTTGAAAAAGAAAAAAACAACATCCCTCATATTCTTAAGTATTTTTTTGTTGCTGTTTAAGCTAGTTGTGCATAAAAGGTCATTCTCCTGGGTGATGTAAAAAGCAGTAAGAAGCTTCTGCAACAAATCTAACAAGAAAAGTGTGTGGTGGGGAGTCTCAGGAGACTGCACTGGAGCAAGGCTGTCTACCTGAAATCAGTGTGAAAATTCAAGGCTACAAACAAAAGAATTTCTTCCTAATATCTAATCTAAATCTAGTGGAAGATTTACTGTGAGGGTGGTGAGACACTGGCACAGGTTGCCCAGGGACCTGTGGATGCCTCCTCCGTGGCAGTGTTCAAGGCCAGGTTGGACGGGGCTTTGGGCAACCTGATCTGGTGGGAGGTGTCCCTGTCCATGGCAGGGGTTGGACTGGATGAGCTTTAAGGTCACCTCCAACCCAAACCATGCTGTGATTCTATGATTCTATGAAATCACAGTTTAAACAGTGGAATCACCTGTTTTGTAATTTGATGCAATTATCATGGTAGAGGTGGTATTAACGTTTCAATCTTGCTGTTCAAATTCAAGTAATTCAAATAATTTTATTTCTTTGCCATATATGTGCTATCATAATTATGTGGGTTTTGTTAAATAGTGCTTTCTTGAAAGATGTGAAGACTATGTACATTTGCGATACGTCCTGTTTGAGATGAAGGGATAAGAACTAGAGAAAGTTGAGAGTTTGCAATCAAGGAAAAGTAGAAGCGTGAAGTGGCTTCTTTGCATTTGAAGTTTAGAGAAGAGGTGTCTTGGAGAATTGATGAGAAAGTTCTGCAAAATCATGGATGTCACAGGGAGATGTAGTAGACATTTGCTCCTTTCTCTGATGCAAGATGTCGGAGGTATCAGATTATTTCATGAGGCCAAGGTTCAAGACAAACACAAATTTGTGCTTCTTTGTGCAGCGAATGGAAGGCTTGTGAGATTCTGCTGAGGGACACTGTGAAGGGAAGAGACTTACCCACGCACAGAAAGTGGACAGCTACCTGCAAGCGAGTCATTAGTAGTTACTAGACCGGTGAACTAGAACAGGATCAGGAGCTGAGATCAGTTGGAGGTTGTGGGAGAGTATTAGGAGGTAAAAGTCATCTGTCTTGTTTTCACTGTTTCCTGAAGCCTTCTGGATTTCTGGCTCTTTTGTTTTGTTTTGTTTTGTTTTTTGTTTTGTTTTGTTTTGTTTTCCCAGGGTATGATCTCTTAGCTCTTTCCAACTTTCCGTCTTCCAGTTCTGACTGTTCAGGGATGCACTGAGGCAAGCAGGTCAACACTCGTCAGAAAGCCCTGTAGTCACACATTCTACCAGGACCAGATATGAAGAATATTTAATAATCACCTGTAGAGACTGCTGGCCATAACATTTTATAATTGCTGTCACCATGCAATGATGAATTTATATACTGATAAGTATGCAAAGCTCTGAACAGCTCTCCCAGGGCATATTATAGCTTTGATTATCTTATGATAAGGAGCTGGGAGGACATTGCCCATGATGGTCTTGTATGCAGGATTCATGATGTCTCATCCCATGTGATAGGTTACAAGGGGGGTGAATCTTTTGGATTCCCCCAGGGACAACATACTGGCAAAAAGAGGGGTCTCTGCTTGGCAGGGCTGCAGGCTGGGTCGAGTCACGACAGTGACTCAGAAGAACAATTTCGCTGGTAACTGTATTAACTGAAAACTTTAATGAATGAAAAGGGACAAACTGGCAACAATTAGTTAATAACTTTCAGTGAGTGAATAACTGCACTTTGTCAAATGAGGCTATTTTCCTAACAACTCATCACCACTGGTACTGAACTTGTATACATAGAATACATATACACATATATACATAGTATAAATGAATATATGTAAGAAGGAAAGAGTAGGAGGAGAAAAGGAGAAAGACAAGAGAAGGGAATAGAGAAAGGAGAAGTATCACCACCCTTGGATCCAGCGTTGTCCCAAGGTAGCAAGCTTAGTCCATCAGTGATGAGGTGGTGTCTTTCTGTAATCTCTCTTATGTCTGCCCAGTTGGTTGTTCCAGATGCTTCTCATCTTCTCTGGCTTGCACTTGTCTCCAGGCAGCAGCAAGAGAAACTAAGAGAGAAGCAGCCTGCTGTTGTTCCTCAAGTGGGATTTGGTACCTGGTTTGTGACACATGGACACAAGGGATTTGATGAGAAGCAGAAGTTGAAAGACTTTTCCGTCCTTTGGTCTGCTTTAAGCACTGATGTCTTTGGATGCAGCCTGAGTGCAGTGCATGTTGGCTGTGTTTTCAGTCTGCTCCATCCCCACTGTCTGAGGGTCGGTGCTGTGCTTCAGGGTCCTTGGTAGTGTGTTTGGGGCACCCTCATCTGTTGGGTTCATTTGTTATAGGGATGCACATGAGGTGCACATGTAGACCTGGCAGGGCCCTAAGAACAGCTCGTGCTTGCTTTGCTTCACCATATCATATGCTGCACTAGTTTATGAGCTGCTGAAAAGCAGGTGCTGCACACCACAGCATTTCTCTGCAACATGCAGAGCTCCTTCAATATATAGAACCTTTCTCTAAACCAGAAAAGTTCAGGTTCTTATGCTCTTCAGCAGTTCTTTTGAACTTACTAGTTTCGTTGCCATGAATTTCAGCTGTTTTACAAGTAGCTGCTTTTATGATGCTAAACATACTGCTTGTCCTGTTACTTAGTTCATCTGTCTAGTTAAATATTTATCTCTGCATGTCTCAAACAAGTTTTTATCTATTCTTTTCCAGAAAATTTGCATATTACTTGTTTATTTTAACAGCATGATAAATAGAAAGATTAAGTGAAAGTAAATAAAGTCAAATAAGGCACCCCAGGTGCACATCTTGGTGCCTGCATGAATGGTAATGTACGCAGTAGGGATTAATAGGGCATGTTGTGTCTTTTACATGTCCTTTCTCTTTTGAGGGATGTGAAGGATGGCTGGATAGTTCATGGGTTGCTGCAGCTGTGCTCTGTCACCATTAATAGGTTGCTGCACACCTTTGTTCTTTTCCCAACTTATGAAAATAGGGTAATAATACTAGCACATTGTATCATAGAAATGGACAGGTCAAAGTCATCTTTTTTTCTGCAGTCTTACAGCTTTCTTTCATTTGCAATAAAGTTCATTCTTCAGCAGGGGAAGAAAACAAAGCATCCTTCTCCAAAAGAGTAGAAGTCATTCAGTTTTTACAAGTGGATGTAAGCTAGTACAAACTCAAATTGTTGATACAGGGACAAGTATTCCTTACTTACGCTGAATTACCATTTCCCTGTTCTCATGACTCTTTGTCATGTTATTACATTCACCTACATGCTTCTCAGAGTGGTAGATAAGCCCTGAAGAGTCACAGACATATGTCTGCTCAGAGTCATCAGTTACTTTAACTGTTTCTTTCCTCCCATTCATGAACTTCTACAAAATTAGTTCATGATTTCTGCTTTAATCAGTGGCAGCTTCCAGAAGCAACCCAGTTCTCTCACAGCTCTGTTGCAATGTCTGCCTTACTCTTTTCCATATGGAAAAGTTCCTATAAAATTTTTAAATTTATATTGTAAATAATGTAGCACAGTAAAAAGTAGTTATATAAGCTTAGCAAATGTACAAATTTCTTCTCTGCTAACAATGTCTAACATAACTTGGAAAAAATTAGTTAATGTTAAATTGGTCATTTTTTGAAACAGTTCTGTTGAATATAGGCTTCAAGAAGATTGGTTTGACAAAAACTTAAAGATATAAATTGATCTTACATAGTCCTTAAATTTTCTGTATTCTTAGCATATATAATGAAAGACCTTTGAGAAGCTTATTTCTCCCTCAGCTGAAGCTAGAGACCAAAAATCACCCAACGTGGAAAATAAATGTTAGATAAGAACCAAATATTTAAACCCAAACAAACGTGTTGTTCCTTCGTGAACATAGCAGCTTTATTTCAACAGCTCTGTCATCTGATTTGAGCTGAGTACATCAGTATTTCCAGCATGCTGCATGTTTCAAAGCTGCCTTCCTCCTCCTACAGCATGCCAATCCACACTGGAGAGAATGTACCATTTTTCACAAGAACAAGGTGACATATTCTGGGAGAAGATGGGAGTGGGATGGGAGCTTGTGGTTGGCAGGAGGGGCTGGCTTCTTTAATATAAGCATTTGTTTTTGAAAACACATGTGAAA